ACTAGTGGCAGCTCCAATGAGTCTCAACTCCCCATTACTGCAGTTTGACAGCTCTGTGGCACGGTCTACAGAATAACAAGCAGTAAATTATCTATAATTAGGCAAATTTTGGTATTCAAAAAGAGTACGTACTAGGACGGAGAGCTTTGAAAAAACAATACTACAAAACACAACGGCACCTTGGCAAATGATAGCAGCACTGTGCTCAGTGCATGTGCCAGAGAATGTTGGGGAGCAACTCAGTATTTCGGTCTCATTTCCAGCGCAGTTGACCTCATACAGCACCGTAGACTGTAAGTTATCTCCAAATGCACCGCTAGACACGGCATTTGCTCCTGAGTATCATAAAAATTATAGATAATCTCGAGAACACATTATTCAGTGGTGAACACACCGTATTTTGAAAATCCCAGCTGAGAACAGACAACAGAAGCATCCTTGTCGGACCAACTGTCACCACACACTGTTCCATAGCTGCCACCAACACACACCTCAATCCTGCCCCTGGCTAACTCATCCTTAACGAAATAGTACTCCTCTTTCTCATCAATGGAGACGTAAAACTCAGTAAAGTTATCAATACCAAGTCTGACATCACCGTCTGTACATGTGGCTGTAGGTAATAAGTACACTTTTGATGTAGGTAACAATTGAAAGTAAATAGCCCTACCATGCAAGCAACAATATTAGATATTCAAAGACGTTTATAGCACAAAATCATTTATATGTCAGAAAACTGATATAGCTACTGGATTATGAGTAAACTAGTTGAAAAGTAATAGTGATTTCTTTGCTACTTACCTTCACATCTGACTCCAGCTTCCTCAGATCTGTCACAGTTAGTGATGGTGGTGTAGCCACACTCTGTGAGGTTGCCCTCTCCTCCAGTACACACCACATTGTCCAGGAAGATAGACCTGTTAGGAGGACTGCCCAGACCAGAGCGGACCACTGGCAGAGAGCCTGTCAGAGGGAAAGATGTGGAATCGATGGGAGAGATCCACAAATGATGGACAGAAGAGAACAAACCAGTAGCTGAGAATCCCAGCTGAGTACACACAACAGTGGCATCCGGAGGGTCCCACCAGTCATCACACACAGTACCATACTCATTGTGAAGACAAACCAGTACAGTTCCATTGGAGTGGTTGGTGGAGAGTGTACTACCATCATACAGAAGAATCTCCCCATCTCTGCAATCTGTAAACATGAAAACCATTCTTAAATGGGTGAATTGTAGAGTCAGAAGTTGATTCTTACCACAACTGAGTCCATTCCCTGTGTATCCTACTGTGCACGTACATTCATGACTACCAATTGTATTCCCACAATCAGCATGAGAGTCGCACAAATCTATGTCCTCTAAACATTCATCAATATCTAATGAAGGGGGTAACTTTCAAGGCATTAAATGTTTGTACAACTCTATACCTGAGCAGTTATATCCATCACCAGCATAGCCTACTTCACAGATGCATTGATAGGATCCGAGGGTATTGTTGCACTGCGCTTTTCCATGACAATCATCAGTACCCAGTGTGCATTCATCGATATCTGATACAAATGTAAATGGTAATGAAAAAGGTGTAACATTTGAAATTTCTTCTTACCATTGCAAGATAGTCCATCTCCAGAGTACCCAGCCACACATGTGCATATGAAACTACCAATCGTGTTGCTGCAGTTAGCATTACTGTGACACGGAGTTGTGTTAGTGCACTCATTCACATCTGTGTATTGAGCGTGTGTTTCAAGTAATAATCTTAGACACGTAGTTTTACATACCAATACACAAAACGCCATCTCCTGTGTAGCCAGTTAGACAGGTACACTCGTAGCTTCCAATGGTATCAGTGCAGTTTGCGTCGAGACTGCAGTTGTTCTGGCTTGAATTTGCACACTCATCTACATCTACACAATAAGATTTTGTGCCGTAAGTTTCACTTTCTTTGATCAGTCATTCTTGTTTTCTAGTATGATTCCCAACTCACTTGTACAAGTGTATCCATCGCCATAAAACCCTGGATGGCATTCACATGTGTAGCTCCCTACAGTGTTTCTGCAGCTTGCATCAGTGTGACATGAATTATTCCCCGATTTGCACTCATCAATATCTGTTGCGAGAAATGAGGAGTCACAAACTAATATTGAACATAACAAACTAACCTTCACAGTATGTTCCATTGCCAGTGTAGCCATCATTACATTCACAGTTGTAGCCTCCATCTCTGTCCAGACAGGTAGCATTAGTGTGGCAGTCAATGGGTCCTACTTCACACAGATTTATCCCTATAAAGAATTGAATATGCCTTTTAAAGTGTTTTCCCTACGCAAAAGTTCTCGCTTGTACATAGATGTTAAACTTAAGACTTCTTACTCATGCAATTCTTTCCGTCACCAACATATCCATAGACACATGTACAGTTGTATGATCCAACTGTGTTAGTGCAAGTAGCATTGCTGTGGCATTCTGCTGTCCCGGCCCCACATTCATTTACATCTAGAGTTAAGAGAATTAAAGCAGGCTAAATGGCTAAAGCTAAATTTATGCTAACCATTGCAAGTGTGATGGTCAGAGTCAAGTGTGTATCCATCATAGCAGACACACTGGTAGCTACCAAGAGTGTCAGAGCAATTCTGAGAGCAGTTGTCAGTGTTCTCGGCACATTCATCAATATCTGAGAATGTTACTTATCACTTGCTTCCTACGTTAACATTTTGCTCTTACCAAAGCACTTCACTCGAGCCAGTCCAGAGCCAACATCACAAGATGCCTCACCAAGTCGATCATAATAGCAGTCATGTAGCAGAGACTGGTCGGATTCATCGCAGTGTAGAGAGCTTAAGAACACCAATCCAACACCACTAGTAGCTTGGAGCTCAGCGGCCCTGTCATTTAGGAAGGTTCAGGCTACCATTGAGACATATGAGTAGCTCAATTACAGCTTACCACTGTCGCTGAACCCATCGAGTTCGCTGCAAAACACTGCTGCATCTGTAGTATCAAAGAAGTTGTCGCTACACACAGAGCCCCAGGCATTATTGATACAGATCTGGATAGTTCCCTGTCGAGAATCCTCTTCTGCGTTGTTGGAAAGGTCTACAAATCTTACTTCCCCCGTTAAACAGTCGGCAAAAGTAGTAGAGGATCTATCGAAACACACGCAGTTTTCGATGCAAAAGTTTCAGTAATGACCGACATACCATTACAGGTGACTGCTGCAACTTCAATAGGGTCGCAGTGTGTCACTTCCTTCATGAGCCTCTGTTACCATGAGAACAGTCTAGCAGGCGGTCTCATTACCAATGCACTCTACTCTGCCAATCACAACTGAGACTGAGGCATTACTGAATTGACCCCCAGTGATGGCAATTGCTCCTGTTCAAATACAGACTATCAAACACTAGCAATTTGACAACAAACATTACCATTGGATGAAAATCCAAGCTGTGAACAGACAACAGATGCATCCTCAAAGTCCCAGGATTTATCACAGACTGTGCCATATCTTCCCCCGATGCAAACTTCAACTCTGCCCCTCGCCAATTCGTCCTTGATGAAATAACTGTTTTCTACATCTTCCAAGCTTTGGTAAAGTTGGTTCACATCTCCAATAGCCAGTCTAACAGTTCCACGGCGACAGACTGCACCACAGATGACTCCAGCGTCCTCTGAGTGGTCACAGTTACTGACAGAGTCATAGGAACAGTCCAGTACGTTGCCTTCAACACCAATGCACGTGACATCATCAATGAGGATGGGACGAGAGAATCCACTTCCAAACCCAGCATTCTTGACTGGAAACACATCTGCAAATCAAGAAAGCAGTAGAAATACCTAGCACAGAGCACAAATGTGATATACCATTGGTGTCATATCCCAGTTGTCTGCAGATGACTCTGGCATCAAGTTCATCCCATGAGTCATCACAGACTGTGCCATATGTGTTGTTGGAGCACACCTCCACTCGACCCTCATAGGCAGTGGAGCCATTCACCAGTCGAACATCACCATCAGTTGAACAACTGTCCAGGTCTATTTTCAGAAATGAAACATACCACAAAAGATAAAACTTCTAGATTGATAATGGTTATGCATAGTGTAGTAAAAAAATTTTTGCTTACCAACACACGTGTGCCCGTCAAGATCTAAAGTATACCCAACATAGCATGAGCATGTGTAGCTTTCTATTGTCTCAGTACAGTAGTGATCACAGCCAGCATTGTTAATTTCACACTCGCTTGCAGCTGCAAAATGGAAAGGGGTAACAGAACCTTCTGTATTGGTTAGTATGGACTTACGATGGCAGATGACACCAACATCATGTGTGTGACTGCACATCTGTAGTAGTGTGAACCCACAGTCTAACAGTGTCTCCTCTTCACCATTACAACTAATATCATCCATGAATATCGGCCCAATTGGATCCCCAGGAAACTGAGTCACATCCACAACACCAACTTCGTCTGCAAAAACCGCATTCCTCATCTAATGCTATTGCATTGCTCATGAACAGGTACCTTCAATTTGTAACTTTCCGAGTTGTCTGCAGGCAACCTTAGCTTCAGTTGTGCTGAACACACCTTCGCTATCACAGACACTGCCCCATGCTCCATTCATACACACTTCCAGTCTGCCCTGGTTACTAGTGATAGCTCCAGACAATCTCAACGCTCCGTGAGTACAATTTGAGGATGAGGTAGATAAATCTGCAGGTATACTTCCAGTAGCACGAGTATCTGGTTCTTCGGTTCACATACCTTGACAAATAACAGTGGCACTGTGTTCAGGGCAGGTTCCAGAGTGAGAAAGGGGGCAATTCAGTACTCCAGTCTCATTGCCCAAACAATCAATGTCATAGAGGACGGCTGATTCAATATCATCACCAAATGCACCACTAGACACAGGTATCGCCCCTGAAGAGGTTGTTAGAACGCATGGAAGGATTCGAAACAATAATATTATTATGTTTACCAAAATATGAGAACCCAAGCTGAGAGCAGATAACAGCAGGGGTAAGCTTGTCATCCCATTGGCTGTCACAAATAGTCCCATACTTCCCTCCAATACAAACTTCAACTCTGCCTCTTGCTAATTCATCTTTAATGAAATAATAGTCTTCATACTCAGTGACTGAAGTGTAAAACTCAGTTAGGTTCTCAATTGCAAGTCTAACATCGCCTTCCACACAAGTGCCTACACAAAGAGCTCAGGAATTAGCCATACGTTCTATGTACAAACATTTCCATACTTTCACATCTGACTCCAGCTTCCTCAGATCTGTCACAGTTAGTGATGGTGGTGTAGCCACACTCTGTGAGGTTGCCCTCTCCTCCAGTACACACCACATTGTCCAGGAAGATAGACCTGTTAGGAGGACTACCCAGACCAGAGCGGACCACTGGCAGAGAGCCTGTGTGAGAGGGAAAGATGTGGAATTGATGGAGAGATCCACAAATGATAGACAGAAGAGAACAAACCAGTAGCTGAGAATCCCAGCTGAGTACACACAACAGTGGCATCCAGAGGGTCCCACCAGTCATCACACACAGTACCATACTCATTGTCCAGACAAACCAGTACAGTTCCATTGGAGTGGTTGGTGGAGAGTGTACTACCATCATACAGAAGAATCTCCCCATCTCTGCAGTCTGTTCCAAAAGTAACCTTGACTTAAAGCTTTAAAGCAGTCGCTGAGTTCTGTAACTGACCACATGTGATTCCATTTCCAGTGTAGCCAATAGCGCAAGTACACTCATAGTTTCCAATGGTATTAGTGCAGTCCGCATGAGAGTCACACTCATCTGATCCTTCAAAACATTCATCAATGTCTGCATGCAATATAAAGTAACACTGCTCGAATTGCTGCTTTAGTAGTAAAATGTAAATATTCTCCTACAAAAACATACCACTGCAGTTGATTCCATCACCGGAGAAGCCCAGTTCACAGCTACATGTGTATGATCCATCAGTGTTATTGCATATTCCTCTCTCTTCATCACAATTATCCATACCCACGTCACACTCATTGATATCTAAGCATTGAAATTTCCTTTCACATAGAGTAACATTACTGTTTTCATTCACCTTTGCATGTCATGCCATCACCAGAATACCCAGCTAGACATTCACACGAGAAGCTGCCAAATGTATTGCTGCAGTTTGCATTAGAATGGCATGGAATATCCTCTGTTTCTGAGCATTCATCAAAATCTGTGTTGTAGACAGCAAGTACAGCATTTATTACACAGTGCACAAAAATGGTAGGTATATTGACATACCATCACATAAATACCCATCTCCAGTGTAACCAGCTGAGCATGTGCAGTCATAACTCCCAATAGTGTCAGTGCAGTTTGCATATACACTGCAGTTATTCTCATTCATATCGGCACATTCATTAATGTCTAAAAGGGGAAAGGTCCCTAATGTATGAAGTTGAACTGTTGAAGAATACTTACTGGAGCAACCGAAACCATCTCCAGTAAACCCAGGAAAACAGTCACAGTTATAGCTTCCAATGACGTTAGAACAGTTGGCGTTGCTATGACATGAGTCATTTCCATCAGCACATTCATCAACATCTGAAAAAAAAACGCCTTAGTCAATATCTTCGTACAACCATTATAAAGCTGAAATTGTGACTTAGTACTTACCACTACAAAGAACGCCATCACCAGTATATCCAGGTAAACAGGCACAGACATAGCTTCCAAAGGTATCAGTACAGTTGGCATTAGTACTACAATTATTCTGGCTTGCATCTAGACATTCATCAACATCTTAAAGAGAAAGAGAAAGTATGTTTCAAAACAACAACTTTCTGACAATGATACTACAGATCCAGTACACACTAAAAGCACTGTATTCAGCTCTGTCTAGACTTAGGCTAGGCTCACAATAAGTCGCATTGTCCCAGTCGTTTCCGCATTGCGAGGATAGAATCCATTTTTATCACTGCGGCACAATGCTACGCGGCACAGCAGGATGGGGCAATGCGACATATTGTGAACCTAGTCTTACTTGAACAGTTCTGCCCATCTCCTGCGAAACCCTGAAGACATTGACAGCTGTAGCTTCCTTCAGTATTAGTACAACTTGAATTTGTGTGACACACAAAATTCCCCGTAAGGCACTCGTTCACATCTGAATGTTGTGATTATAGAGGATGAAAAAACAGAGATAATAGTAGTTTACCTTCACAGTATGTTCCGTTGCCAGTGTAGCCATCATTACATTCACAGTCATAGCCTCCATCCCTGTCCAGACAAGTAGCATTATTGTCACAGTCAGTGGGTCCTACTTCACACAAATCAATTCCTTGGGAAGTGAAATAATTAGTAGAATCATGCGTAGGTGCCAATATAGTTCTCTTACTTGTGCAATTGATCCCGTCTCCAATGTAGCCATAAATGCAGGTGCAGTTATAAAATCCCTCAGTGTTAGAACATGAGGCATTGTTGTGACATACATCAGTTCCTTCTTCACATTCATTGATATCTGTTTTTTAAAATATACTGGGTCATACTATAATATTGATCTACCTTAATAGGCCTACCATTGCAAGTGTGTTGGTCAGAGTCCAGAGTGTATCCATCATAGCAGACACACTGGTAGCTACCAAGAGTGTCAGAGCAATTCTGAGAGCAGTTGTCAGTGTTCTCGGCACACTCATCAATATCTGAGAATGTTACTTATCACTTGCTTCCTACGAAATATGAAAATATAATATGCCTACCAAAGCATTTCACCACAGCCAATACGAGGTCATCATCACATGTTGCTAGGCCAAGTTGATCATGATGACAGTCTTCCAACAGTGACTTGTCTGTCTCCATGCAGTCCATAGCGCTTAGGAAAATAGCTACCAGGCTCTCTGACACTGCTGTGGCTTCAATAGTAGTTGCCCCTGCAATCATTATACATTTTAAAACAATACGATCAAACAGGAAGTTACCAGTGCTCGCGAAACCTCTGAGCTGACCACAAAATACACTAGCATCAGTATCATCAAAGTAATCATCGCCACATATGAAGCCCCAGGCATCATTGATACAGATCTGAATAGTTCCTTGTCGAGAATCCTCTTCTGGGTTATCAGTGAAGTCTACAAATCTCACTTCTCCTGTTTTACAGTTACCAGATACTGTTGTGGAAGGATCTGTTACATTGATAAAGAAATGATTAAATGATTGTGAGCTCATAAATAGCAACCCTGAGAAGTATATATATATAAGTATGGCAGCTATCATGGATACGACAAAGAATAAGGTACCTCTACACACAAATGTAGTCACTTAACAGAGCTGTAATTTTTTTACCTTGACATGCAATGGCTGCAGTTTGCCTGTGGTCACACTGACTCGAATCTTCATTGGTAATGGAGCATTCCATCAGATCCTTCTCACTACCACTACACTCTACCCTCTCAATAACCACTGGCAGTGAATTGTTGCTATAGAGACCTCCAGTGATGGCAATTGCTCCTGCAGTATTATATAGGGTAAATACAGCGTTACTTTGTACAGGGATTACCATAGGGAGAAAATCCAAGCTGTAAGCAAACAACTGATGCATCATTATTGTCCCAGTGGTCATCACAGATGGTTCCGTATATCCCTCCAACACAGACCTCCACTCTTCCCCTTGATAACTCGTCTTTGATGAAATAGCTATCCTCTGGAAGCTCTAGACCTTGGTAAAGTTCATTGATGTCTCCAACTGCTAGTCTAACAGTTCCATTGAGGGCAAACTGCACCACAGATGACTCCAGCATCCTCTGAGTGGTCACAGTTACTGACAGAGTCATAGGAACAGTCCAGTATGTTCTCTTCATTGCCAGTGCATGTGATGTCATCAAATAGGATAGGACGAGAGAATCCACTTCCAAACGCAGCATTACGAACTGGGGCAACATCTACATATTATAATTAAAGCAGTAGAAATAGCTAACACTGAGCACAGATGTCATATACCATTGGTGTCATATCCCAGTTGTCTGCAGATCACTCTGGCATCAAGTTCATCCCATGAGTCATCACAGACTGTTCCATATGTGTTGTTAGAGCACACCTCCACTCGACCCTCATAGGCAGTGGAGCCATTTACCAGTCGAACATAACCATCAGTTGAACAACTGTCGAGATCTAGTTGAAGGAAAATGTACACGAAGACGAAAACATTGCTAGCCCATATGTACCAAGACATGTGTGCTTGTCTGCCTGTAGGGTATATCCGGGGTAGCATGAACAGAAGTAGCTCTCAATAGTCTCAGTGCAAAAGTGATCACACCCTCCATTATCCAATTCACATTCACTCGCAGCTAAAACGAATACAGACGATTCTCAATAACGGTAAGTCCTAGACAACTTACGATGGCAGATGATGGCTACATCTTGTAGATGATTGCAGCTATGCAGTGTGGTGTAGAAGCAGCCAAATAGATCGCTCTCCTCACCAGTGCAGTGAACATCGTCCACGAATATTGGTCTTGTGAGAACGCTAGAAAACTGTGTAACATCGACAATGCCAACTTCATCTGAAAAAGGAGATCAATTGTAGTTTGGAGCCTTCCTATTGTTTGCTTTACATACCTTCAACTTGCAGTTTTCCAAGCTGTCTGCATGCTACTTTAGCTTCATCAGTAGTGAAAACACCTTGACTATCACAGACACTGCCCCATGCTCCATTCATACACACTTCTAGTCTGCCCTGGTTACTAGTGATAGCTCCAGATAATCGCATCTCTTCATCAGTGCAGTTGGATGGTTCTGTTGCTCTATCTGTACAATGAAGTGACACAACCTAATCAAGTAAGGCAAAAATACACTTGCACTTGCCTTGACAGATAACTGCAGCACTGTGCTGTGAACATGTCCCAGAGTAAGACACAGAGCAGCTCAGTATCTCTGTCTCGATCCCAGAACACCCCGCACTGTACAGGACTACTGACCCTACATCATCTCCAAATGCACCACTAGACACCGCAATAGCACCTATGGTAGCGAGCATCACACTTAAGTATTACGAATAGTACGAAGAATATTACCATAAGCAGAAAATCCAAGCTGAGAGCAGATCACTGAGGCATCTTGTGAGCTCCAGTCATGGTCACATATTGTTCCATATCGACCTCCAATGCAAACCTCTATTCTCCCCCTGGCTAATTCATCCTTTATGAAAAAGTACTCTTCAAACTCTTGCATGGTTGTATGAAATTCTGTAAAGTTTCCAATTCCCAGCCTGATATCTCCTTCTCTGCATATTGCTGTGAAGTGGTATCATCAGCGTACTCTTTCTAGTAACTCCTGGCAATTTACCTTCACATCTGACTCCAGCTTCCTCAGATCTGTCACAGTTAGTGATGGTGGTGTAGCCACACTCTGTGAGGTTGCCCTCTCCTCCTGTACACAACACATTGTCCAGGAAGATAGTCCTGTTAGGAGGACTGCCCAGACCAGAGCGGACCACTGGTAGAGAGCCTGTGTGAGAGGGAAAGATGTGGAATTGATGGAGAGATCCACAAATGATAGACAGAAGAGAACAAACCAGTAGCTGAGAATCCCAGCTGAGTACACACAACAGTGGCATCCAGAGGGTCCCACCAGTCATCACACACAGTACCATACTCATTGTCCAGACAAACCAGTACAGTTCCATTGGAGTGGTTGGTGGAGAGTGTACTACCATCATAGAGAAGAATCTCCCCAACTCTGCAGTCTAAAAAAATATTTATTGACATGACTGACACGATAATTAAAATTCTGAAAGACATTTTAACTAACCACATGTCTCTCCATTTCCAGTATAACCAACACTACAGAAACATGTACGACTTCCAATGGTATTGGTACAAACAGCATGAGAATCACATCCATCTGACTCCTCAAAACATTCATCAATGTCTGCCAAAAGAAATGTTTCATACTACTTATACGTTCATGCAGTTTGTGTTGAGATATACCTGTACAGTTTACTCCGTCGCCACTAAATCCTAAGTTGCAGGCACATGTGTATGATCCAACAGTGTTGTTGCAGAATCCATTGTCTTTGTTGCAATCATTGGTGTTGAGCTCACACTCATCAATATCTAAGTGAATTAAGTGTTCGGTTTCACATTAGTCTACGATAGTTGCAATTTCTCACCATCACAAGTCATGCCATCTCCAGTGTATCCTGATAGACAAGTACACGAGAAGCTACCAACTGTGTTTGTACAGTTAGCCACGGGATGACACGGAAAGATAGTTGCGTTTGAACACTCATCAAAATCTGTAAAAAGAGTTTTAGGTGTGATCAGCAGCAGTTCACAATATGTCACGTTAACTTGTCGAGCCACGCCATGTCACGACGGAGCAATGCGACCAATCATGGTAATAAGCTTTGCTGATGGTAATCACAGACTTACCATCACACGAATATCCATCACCAACATAACCAGCAGAACAGGTACAATCATAGCTTCCGATGTTGTCAATGCAGTTAGCATTAGAGCTACAGTTATTTGAACTTGCACATTCATCAATATCTGGAAAAAAGGAACATTCAGCACTAAACAATGTGGTTTTCACCTTCTACAAGCAAATAATTGTAGCCGACTTGTTCAGTTCTTACTTGAGCAGTTGAAACCATCTCCAGTGAATCCAGGCAGACATTGACAACCGTAGTTGCCTTTGGTGTTATAACAACTGGCATTCACATGACAAAGAATCTCACTGGTAGAACACTCATCAACATCTGGATAAAAACACATCATTAGTGCATAGCTACATTTACCAAAGTACTCTACACACCATCGCATATAAACCCATCTCCTGTGTAGCCAAATGAACATAAGCATTCATAACTCCCAATGGTGTCACTACAATTCGCATTGACACTACAGTTGTTAACGGTTGTATCCATACATTCGTCAACATCTGCAATTGAGTATAATACCATAGTTAAAGGATCATTTGTGTATGGTACACATACTCAAGCAAGTTGCACCATCTTCAATGAAACCAGATCTGCATTCACAGTCATAACTACCAATAGTGTTAGTGCAGCTGGCATTAGCATGGCAGGAGAAAGTGCCGATTGTACACTCATCCACGTCTGCATAAAAACAAGGACCATCATTCAGTCGTTCATAAAATGTGACTCACTATTACCTTCACAGTCTGTTCCATTGCCAGTGTAGCCATCATTACATTCACAGTCATAGCCTCCATCTCTGTCCAGACAGATAGCATTAGTGTGGCAGTCAGTGGGTCCGACTTCACACAAGTTAACCCCTGGCGTATCGAAAAAGATTTAGTGTATAAGACGAATCAAAAGTTATAAATTCTTGTATCTTACTGGTGCAATTCAGTCCATCTCCAGTGTAGCCATACTCGCATGTGCAGTTGTATGATCCAATGGTGTTAGTGCAAGTTGCATTATCGTGACACTGTGATATTTCTTCTGCACACTCATCAATATCTGTTGTAAAGTGGATAATAATTTTTGGAGCTAGCGAACACTGCCATCTAATAGAATATATACCTATCAAACCAGCAGACAATATCACACATACCATTATATTACACGGGTTTATAAATACTTGGTAAATTTAACTGCTTATGTGTGACTCTCGCATTTTTCCGCCAAAAGTTCAGCGCATTCGTTCCAGTTATTTACCATTGCAAGTGTGTTGGTCAGAGTCCAGAGTGTATCCATCATAGCAGACACACTGGTAGCTACCAAGAGTGTCAGAGCAATTCTGAGAGCAGTTGTCAGTGTTCTCGGCACATTCATCAATATCTGAGAATGTTACTTATCACTTGCTTCCTACGTTAACATTTTGCTCTTACCAAAGCACTTCACTCGAGCCAGTCCAGAGCCAACATCACAAGATGCCTCACCAAGTCGATCATAATAGCAGTCATGTAGCAGAGACTGGTCGGATTCATCGCAGTGTAGAGAACTTAAGAACACCAATCCAACACCACTAGTAGCTTGGAGCTCAGCGGCACCTGTCATTTAAAAAAGATCAGGCTACCATTGAGACATATGAGTAGCTCAATTACAGCTTACCACTGTCGCTGAACCCATCGAGTTCGCTGCAAAACACTGCTGCATCTGTAGTATCAAAGAAGTTGTCGCTACACACAGAGCCCCAGGCATTATTGATACAGATCTGAATAGTTCCCTGTCGAGAATCCTCGTTGATATTGTCTGAGAAGTCTACGAATCTGACATCTCCGGTTACACAATCAGCAAACTCAGTGGATCGATCTGTTTAAAATTCGTCGTATTTTGAATCAAGAAGACAATTATTAATAAGTCACAAAGAACACACCTTGGCACCTAACAGCTGCAGTTTGTCTAGGGTCACATCCATCAACTTCTTCGTGACCATCTGTGACGTGACCACACTCCAGAAGGCCAGTTTCATTACCCATACACTCTACCCTGCCAACCAGCACTGATACTGATGCATCACTGTACAGACCTCCTGTGATAGCTATTGCACCTGGATGGGAAGGGATTTATAGATACGACCAACACAGATTTTTGAAACGTTACCATTGCTGGAGAATCCAAGCTGAGAGCAGACAACAGAGGCATCCTCAAAGTCCCAGTAGTCATCACACACCGTACCATACCCCCTTCAACACACACCTCCACTCTGCCTCTGGCTAACTCATCTTTGATAAAGTAATCATCATCCAGGGTGTCTGGGTCTTGGTAAAATTCATTCATATCCTCAGTTGATAGTCTAACAGTTCCATTGAGACAAACTGCACCACAGATGACTCCAGCATCCTCTGAGTGGTCACAGTTACTGACAGAGTCATAGGAACAGTCCAGTACGTTCTCTTCATTGCCAGTACATGTGATGTCATCAAGGGTGATTGGGCGAGTAGAATTTACACTACCAAAAGTAGCTTTCTTTGCTGGATAAACATCTACAGAAACACCACAGATAATTTCAAGTGTGCATCGATCCTTTCATCTTGGAGCTTACTCGAGTAATCATATCCCAGTTGTCTACAGATGACTCTGGCATCAAGTTCATCCCATGAGTCATCACAGACTGTGCCGTATGTGTTGTTGGAGCACACCTCCACTCGACCCTCATAGGCAGTGGAGCCATTCACCAGTCGAACATCACCATCAGAAGAACAATTGTCCAGATCTGACATTGCAAAAATGTTTAAATGTCACGTAATTATGTATGCCTACTTACGAACTCACCAACACACGTGTGACCATCTTGCCGTAGAGTGTACCCAGGATAGCAGGAGCATGTATAGCTGTACAATGTCTCAGTGCAGTAATGATCACAACCGCCGTTCTCTATTTCGCATTCACTGGCAGCTACAGCGAAAAATAGACAATAACGTGTGGTATTTTTTTAGCAATGTGTCCTTACGATGGCAAATAATGGCAACATCGTCTCCATGACTGCACATGTGTATTTCAGTACTTCCACAGTTCAGAAGATTCTCTTCTTCACCACTGCAGTCTATCAGGTCAAGGAAAATTGGTCCAGTCGGTTCTCCAAAATCACTGGCTCTCAATACATTCACTTCATCTGTGTCAGAGTAAAATTATGTCAGTCTCAAATCAATTCAAATGTACAGTTGTTGGTGTTAACCTTCGACTTGTAGTTTTCCAAGCTGCCTGCATGCTACTTCGGCCTCATCAGTCGTGAAAACACGTTTACTGTCACAGACACTGCCCCATGCTCCATTTATGCACACTTCCAGTCTGCCCTGGTTAGTAGTGGCTGCTCCAGTCAGTCTCAACTCTCCATCAGTACAGTTATATACATTAGTTGCTGGATCTGCATCACAAAAAGTCAAGGAACAATAAAGTTACATTCTGGTTCCTCACCTTGGCAGATAACGGCAGCATTATGCTCCGTGCATAATCCCGAGAGAGAATATGAGCAAGTCAGTAGTTCAGTCTCATTTCCAGAGCACTCTACACTATAAAGGACAGTGGATCCTATGTCATCTTCAAAAGCACCGCTGGACAATGCAATTGCTCCTGAAGAGAAAGGGACAGGTTTAAAGTGTTTCAATTAAAAGTTTCAGACTTACCATAATGGGAGAATCCCAGTTGAGAGCAGACAACTGAAGCATCTTGATTTTCCCAATCTTCACCACAAACTGTTCCATACGTACCCCCTGTACAAACTTCAACTCTGCCCCGAGCTATTTCATCCTTGATGAAATAGTAATCAGCATATTGATCGATGTTAATAAAGAAGTTAGTGAAGTTGACAACTCCTATTCGGACATCTCCTTCACGACAAGTTGCTGAAAAATTGGATTTGCTCTAACTGTGCCGTTTAGTCTGGAAAAGAAACTCCATACCTTCACATCTGACTCCAGCTTCCTCAGATCTGTCACAGTTAGTGATGGTGGTGTAGCCACACTCTGTGAGGCTGCCCTCTCCTCCAGTACACACCACATTGTCCAGGAAGATAGACCTGTTAGGAGGACTGCCCAGACCAGAGCGGACCACTGGCAGAGAGCCTGTGTGAGAGGGAAAGGTGTGGAATTGATGGAGAGATCCACAAATGATAGACAGAAGAGAACAAACCAGTAGCTGAGAATCCCAGCTGAGTACACACAACAGTGGCATCCAGAGGGTCCCACCAGTCGTCACACACAGTGCCATACTCATTGTCCAGACAAACCAGTACAGTTCCATTGGAGTGGTTGGTGGAGAGTCTACTACCATCATACAGAAGAACCTCTCCGTCTCTGCAATCTGTTGTACGCATTAACAAAGTAATAGGATTCAGTGTGTACTTGTACGCACAGCTTAGCTTCTAAAACAAAAAGTATTCCACTAACCGCAGCTGATTCCATCTCCAGTATATCCGATTCTGCATGCACATCCATGACTTCCAATGGTGTTAGTGCAGTCAGCATGCGTGTCACAGAAGTCAATCCCCAAAGCACATTCATCATAATCTGTATAATATACACAATATAGCATTTAACTGCTTCACCCATAGGTTTCCATAGTTGTATAAACGTGTATGTAGTGAACATACGTACCACTGCAGTTGAATCCATCACCCGAGTATCCCACGATGCATGTACACCGGTAAGACCCCACAGTGTTGTTACATGCAGCCTTCTCGTGGCATAGATCAGTCCCCGACTCACATTCATCGTTATCTGTGAAGAATCAAGAATTCCACTACCAAACAGTATTATTCATCAAACCCTACCATTACAGGTCATTCCATCACCGCTGTATCCATCCGTACAAGAACAAATGAAGCTACCAACTGTATTGTTGCAATGAGCATATTGATGACATGCAGTTGTATTGGAACACTCATCAACATCCTCGCACAGATAACCATCTCCAGTGTAGCCCACTGAGCAAGTGCACTCATAACTTCCAAAGGTGTCGGTGCAGTTGGCACTAGCACTACAGTTGTTGTGATTGGTTTCAGCACACTCATCAATGTCTACAAACAAACAAGTTATAGTTATTGATTGGAGTTGTAAACTTTTCATTTTTCTTACTTGTGCAATTCAAGCCATCTCCATCAAAACCAGGGATGCATTCACACTCATATCCACCATCAGTATTGGTGCATTGTGAATTGGCATGACAAGAGTTGTTCCCTGTCGCACACTCATCGATATCTAAAGTAACATTTCTCAGTTGATGTGGCTATTTATAGCTAATGGTTGTAGCAAAGAAGTGTGTATGAGAAACTCTTGTAGCTACCAATCTATGTTACCATTGCAAGTGTGTTGGTCAGAGTCCAGAGTGTATCCATCATAGCAGACACACTGGTAGCTACCAAGAGTGTCAGAGCAATTCTGGGAGCAGTTGTCAGTGTTCTCGGCACACTCATCAATATCTATAAATATTACGTGTAACTCGTTGCAAACATTCTTATTCTTATGCTTAGGCTTACTGAAGCATTTAACCACAGCAGACCCAAAGTTGTCACAAGATGCAAGGCCAACTTCATCATGAGAACAGTCATAGAGCAGAGACTGGTCCATCTCATCACAGTCCAGAGAACTGAGAAACAAAGGAGCTGAGCTGGTTGTTACACCTGTCCCTTGGAGTTCAGAAGCCCCTGCGAAAGAAGAGTATTAATCCTGAGGAATGTCCCAATTCAATTTCTATACCATCAGTGCTAAAGCCTACAAGTTGGTCACAAAATACTTCAGCATCTGTCCTGTCAAAGAAGTGATCATTGCAAACAGAGCCCCAGGCATTATTGACACAGATCTGGATAGTTCCCTGTCGCGAATCCTCTTCTGGGTTATCAGTGAAGTCTACGAATCTCACTTCTCCTGTTGTACAATCAGCAAACCCGGTGGAAGAATCTATGAGGAGAATAAGAGCATTAGCAAACCTAACAAAGGAACAAGCTACTGCTACGCAACAATACCTAGGCAAGCGACTGCAGCCACTTGATTAGGATCACACTGGCTCACTTCTTCATGAGCACTTGTCTCATACGAACAGTCAAAAAGACTACTCTCATTAGCACCACACCTCACATTACCAATCACTACTGGTACTGATGCATTACTGAAATGGCCTCCAGTGATAGCAATGGCTCCTGTAAAGAACAGTAGAGTGGAGTGAAAAGCAGTTTATGCATGTAGGTTTACCATAAGGAGAGAATCCCAGTTGTGAGCAAACAACAGAAGCATCTTGTGAATCCCAGTCGTCATCACACACCGTACCATAACCCCCTTCAACACACACCTCCACTCTGCCTCTGGCTAATTCATCATTTGATAAAGTAATCATTCATCCAGGGCTGTCTGGGTCTTGGTAGAATTCATTCATATCCTCAGTTGATAGTCTAACAGTTCCATTGAGACAAACTGCACCACAGATGACTCCAGCATCCTCTGAGTGGTCACAGTTACTGACAGAGTCATAGGAACAGTCCAGTACGTTCTCTTCATTGCCAGTACATGTGATGTCATCAAGTGGATTGGGCGAGTAGAATCCACTACCAAAAGTAGCTTTCTTTGACTGGAAACATCTACAGAGAAACACCACAAGCAAATTTCAAGTGGCATCGATCCTTTCATCTTGGAGCTTACCTCGAGTATCATATCCCAGTTGTCTGCAGATGACTCTGGCATCAAGTTCATCCCATGAGTCATCACAGACTGTGCCAAACGTGCTGTTAGAGCACACCTCCACTCGACCCTCATAGGCAGTGGAGCCATTCACCAGGCGAACGTCACCATCAGTTGAACAACTGTCTAGATCTAGAGGGTGAAGGATGTAATTATACAGATGTACAAATGCTAAATATACACCTACCAATGCATGTATGTCCATCCTGCTCTAAAGTATACCCAGGGTAGCATGAGCATGTAAAGCTGTGTAAAGTCTCCGTGCAGTAGTGATCACATCCACCATTCCCTACTTCACATTCACTTGCAGCTAAAAAGTGTACAAGAACATTAGAATAGAGTTATTCACATAGAGCATGCTTACGGTGGCAGATGACTGCTACATCATCATCATGACTGCACATGTGGACTGTTGTGTGTTCGCAATCAAATATATAACCTTCAGAGCCACTACATCGTATGCCGTCGAGAAATACAGGAACTCTTTGTTCTGCAAACAAGTTTGCATCCAAAACATCAGCTTCATCTGTTGGTAAAAAATAGAACTTCTCCATAATGAACAAAACTATGCGGACATACCTTCAACTTGTAGTTTTCCAAGCTGCCTGCAGGCTACTTTAGCCTCATCGTTAGTGAAAACACCCTGACTATCGCAGACACTGCCCCATGCTCCATTCATACACACTTCCAGTCTGCCCTGGTTACTAGTGATTGCTCCAACTAATCGTAATTCTCCATCACTACAGTTTGAAGGCTTAGTGGCTGCATCTGAAGTAGATTGGAAAGAACAAAAAATTTGAGGAAATGTCATTTGCACAGGAAGTGTCACCTTGGCAGATGACTGCAGCATTGTGGTCTGAACATATCCCAGAGTCAGACACAGAGCAGTTGAGTATTCCAGTCTCATTTCCAACACAACCAACCCCATACAGTACTGCAGAGTCTATGTCATCTCCAAACACACCACTAGATACTGCTATTGCTCCTAATAGTCATATACACCAACCAGATATGCAGTACCGTTTTACAGCAACAAACTAACCATTGCGGGAGAATCCTAATTGTGAGCAGACAACTGAAGCATCCTCTTGGTCCCAATTCGCATCACAAACTGTTCCATATTCTTCTCCAACACATACCTCTAGTCTACCCCTGGCTAACTCATCCTTAATGAAGTAGTATTCCTCTATCGTGGCGATTGAACGGTAAAACTCAGTGAAATTCTTGACTCCAAGTCTGACATTTCCCTCAGTGCATTTGGCTAATGAGCAAGTGACCTTACATTTTGACCCACAAAAGCATAGGTATTTTTCACCTTCACATCTGACTCCAGCCTCCTCAGATCTGTCACAGTTAGTGATGGTGGTGTAGCCACACTCTGTGAGGCTGCCCTCTCCTCCAGTACACACCACATTGTCCAGGAGGATAGACCTGTTAGGAGGACTGCCCAGACCAGAGCGGACCACTGGCAGAGAGCCTGTGAGAGGGAAAGATGTGGAATTGATGAACAAATCCACAAATGATAGACAGAAGAGAACAAACCAGTAGCTGAGAATCCCAGTTGAGTACACACAACAGTGGCATCCAGAGGGTCCCACCAGTCATCACACACAGTACCATACTCATTGTCCAGACAAACCAGTACGGTTCCATTGGAGTGGTTGGTGGAGAGTGTACTACCATCATACAGAAGAACCTCCCCGTTTCTGCAGTCTGTAAAAGAAGAGTATTATTATACCCCACAAAATTAAAGGTATTATAGTACAAATTACCACAAGTAATCCCATTCCCAGTGTATCCAACTGTGCAGGAACATTCGTGGCTGCCAATGGTATTTGCACAGCCTGCATTCAAGTCACATAGATCTGATCTTTCAGAGCATTCATCAATATCTGTGGAAACAGTATTATTTAACTTTTAAATTATCTTGAAGCTAAACACACTGTACCTGTACAGTTGAATCCATTGCCAGAATAACCAATTTCACAGCTACAGTTGTAAGAACCGATGGTGTTTTTGCATTCTGCATTGTTGTCACAGATATCTGTGTCCAGCTCACACTCGTTTATGTCTAAAAGGTATTTTCACAGTGTATATAAATCAATACACTTGATGGATTGACTTGCCATTGCATGTCATTCCATCTCCAGAGTACCCAGTCAAACAGGTGCATGTAAAGCTACCAAAAGTATTGTTGCAAAAGGCCTCAGAATGACATGGGAAACTATACTGATCGGAGCACTCATCAACATCTGCGTTAAAATTATAATGTTTAAGCATATACAATCATGTAATATGTTTCTACACCTACCATGACATGTAATTCCATCTCCTGCAAAGCCTTCTGAACAGGTACACTCATAACTTCCAATGGTATCGGTGCAGTTGGCATACACACTACATTTATTTGTGTTGGATAAAACACATTCATCAATATCTGCAAAGGAAAGGTAAATGAGATAGCATAATATCAAAAGGAACTGAAAACATAAAGGTAGCAACAATGACATTGTTAGTACCATAATAGCTATATACATCATTGGAGTAGGAAAAGTAAATATGGTGTTTCCTTACTGGTGCAAGTGAAGCCATCCCCATCAAAACCAGGAAGACATTGGCAAAAGTAACTTCCATCAGTGTTAGTGCAAGTAGCATTTATATGACAAGAGTTATTTCCAGTTGAACACTCATCGACATCTATTTATGGATCATTAGATTAGAAATGAATTGATGCAGATGTAGCTACCTTCACAGTCTGTTCCATTGCCAGTGTAGCCATTATTACATTCACAGTCGTAGCCTCCATCTCTGTCCAGACAGGAAGCATTAGTGTGGCAGTCAATGGGTCCTACTTCACACAAGTTGATTTCTGACAAATTACAAGTATTGAATGTGAAACTATGTAAAGTGGTATATAGCCTTACTTGTGCAGTTTACTCCATCTCCAATGTATCCGTACACACAAGTGCAGTTGTATGAGCCATCAGTGTTGGTACAAGTGGCATTAGAATGGCAGTTTGCTCCTCCCTCCATACATTCATCAACGTCTAATTGAGATAATAAATATGGTGCCATTACTATCACAAAGATATGTATCACTCCCAACCATTGCAAGTGTGTTGGTCAGAGTCCAGATTGTATCCATCATAGCAAAAACACTGGTAGCTACCAAGAGTGTCAGAGCAATTCTGAGAGCAGTTGTCAGTGTTTGAAGAGCACTCATTGGCATCTGGCCAATAATGTGTCAATGTAAACAAATTCACAGACATTTGAATTTATCATTACCAAAGCACTTAACAACTGCTAGTCCAGAATCATCATCACATGTTGCCAGACCAAGTGCATCCTGAGTGCAGTCATGGAGCAGTGATGTGTCTGTCTCAGTGCACTCAAGAGAACTGAAGAACAGGGGACCTGAGCTGGTTGTTACATCTGTCCCTTGGAGTTCAGAAGCCCCTGCAAAAGAAGAGTATTAATCCTGAGGAATGTCCCAATTCAATTTCTATACCATCAGTGCTAAAGCCTACAAGTTGATCACAAAATACTTCAGCATCTGTGCTGTCAAAGAAGTGATCATTGCAAACAGAGCCCCAGGCTTGATTGACACAGATCTGGATAGTTCCCTGTCGAGAATCCTCTTCTGGGTTATCAGTGAAGTCTGTGAATCTGACTTCTCCTGTTGTACAGTCAGCAAATTCAGTGGATGGATCTATGAACAAACAAGTACATGAAACTTTCAAGTATTCTCTGTTTGGTGACACTACCTTGACATGTGACTCCAGCAATTTCATTTGGATCACAATTTTTCACATCCTGATGATTCTCATTTTCATGGGCACATTCCACAAGGCTAGTCTCGTTGCCATTACACTCCACTTGCCCCACTACTACTGAGAGGGAGTCATTGCTAAAGTGACCTCCAGTGATGGCTATAGCTCCTGTAACATCAACACAATGAGAGGATTTTCATGCATAGTTGGTTGCCACTTTACCATTGCTAGAGAATCCAAGCTGGGAGCATACAACAGAGGCATCTTTATAGTCCCAGTAGTCATCACACACTGTTCCATATCTCCCTTCAGCACAAACTTCCACTCTACCCCTGGCTAATTCATCTTTTATGAAGTAACTATCGTCCAGATCCTCAAGACCTAGGTATATGTCATTGATATCTCCTATTGCCAGTCTAACAGTTCCACTGCGACAAACTGCACCACAGATGACTCCAGCATCCTCTGAGTGGTCACAGTTACTGACAGAGTCATAGGAACAGTCCAGTATGTTCTCTTCATTGCCAGTACACGTGATGCCATCAATTATGATGGGACGAGAAAGCCCACTTCCAACCCAAAACCAGCATTCTTGACTGGAACAACATCTGCAAATCAATAAAGCAGTAGAAATAGTTAACATAGAGCACATATGTGATATACCATTGGTGTCATATCCCAGTTGTCTGCAGATGACTCTTGCATCAAGTTCATCCCATGAGTCATCACAGACCGTGCCATATGTGTTGTTAGAGCACACCTCCACTCGACCCTCATAGGCAGTGGAGCCATTCACCAGTCGAACATCACCACCAGTTGAACAACTGTCCAGATCTAATCCCAGTTGTTTGTAATAATAAGCTATTAAAAGCACAGATAAAGTAACACACCGATGCAAGTATGTCCATCTGTCTCTAAGGTGTATCCAGGGAAGCAAGAACAGGAATAGCTGCGTATAGTCTCAGTGCAGACATGATCACATCCAGCATTGTTTACTAGACAGTCATCAGCAGCTGAGTGTAATGGTAAAAAAGTTGCATTAGAGGGAAGATTTCCAGCATGTTTCCTACCATGGCATATGATACCCACGTCTTGACTCTGGGTACACATGGGAATTTCTGACATGACACAGTTGGACAGGCTGCTCTCATCCCCACTGCACTTCACTCTGTCAATCAATATCGGTCCACTAGGTTCCCCAAACATGCTTGCATCTAAAACATCGACTTCATCTGCCAGCGACAAAAGACAGTACACTTCTCTTCACTAGCTACAATACATGAGAGGATTTAACCGACCTTCAACTTGTAATGTATCGAGCTGCCTGCAGGCTACTTTGGCCTCATCCTTAGTGAAGACACCTTGACTATCACAGACACTGCCCCATGCTCCATTCATACACACTTCAAGTCTGCCCTGGTTACTAGTGGCAGCTCCAATGAGTCTCAACTCCCCATTACTGCAGTTTGACAGCTCTGTGGCACGGTCTACAGAATAACAAGCAGTAAATTTTAGGCAAATTTTGGTATTCAAAAAGAGTAAGTACTAGGACGGAGAGCTTTGAAAAAACAATACTACAAAACACAACGGCACCTTGGCAAATGATAGCAGCACTGTGCTCAGTGCATGTGCCAGAGAATGTTGGGGAGCAACTCAGTATTTCGGTCTCATTTCCAGCGCAGTTGACCTCATACAGCACCGTAGACTGTAAGTTATCTCCAAATGCACCGCTAGACACGGCATTTGCCCCTGAGTATCAAAAAAATTATAGATAATCTCGAGAACACATTATTCAGTGGAGAACTCACCGTATTCTGAAAATCCCAGCTGAGAACAGACAACAGAGGCATCCTTGTCAGACCAACTGTCGCCACACACAGTTCCATATCTGCCACCAACACACACCTCAATCCTGCCCCTGGCTAACTCATCCTTAACGAAATAGTACTCCTCTTTCTCATCAATGGAGACGTAAAACTCAGTAAAGTTATCAATACCAAGTCTGACATCACCGTCTGTACATGTGGCTGTAGGTAATAAGTACACTTTTGATGTAGGTAACAATTGAAAGTAAATAGCCCTACCATGCAAGCAACAATATTAGATATTCAAAGACGTTTATAGCACAAAATCATTTATATGTCAGAAAACTGATATAGCTACTGGATTATGAGTAAACTAGTTGAAAAGTAATAGTGATTTCTTTGCTACTTACCTTCACATCTGACTCCAGCTTCCTCAGATCTGTCACAGTTAGTGATGGTGGTGTAGCCACACTCTGTGAGGCTGCCCTCTCCTCCAGTACACACCACATTGTCCAGGAAGATAGACCTGTTAGGAGGACTGCCCAGACCAGAGCGGACCACTGGCAGAGAGCCTGTGAGAGGGAAAGATGTGGAATTGATGAACAGATCCACAAATCATAGACCGAAGGGAACAAACCAGTAGCTGAGAATCCAAGCTGAGTACACACAACAGTGGCATCCAGAGGGTCCCACCAGTCATCACACACAGTGCCGTACTCATTGTCCAGACAAACCAGTACAGTTCCATTGGAGTGGTTGGTGGAGAGTGTACTACCATCATACAGAAGAATCTCCCCATCTCTGCAATCTGTAAACATGAAAACCATTCTTAAATGGGTGAATTGTAGAGTCAGAAGTTGATTCTTACCACAACTGAGTCCATTCCCTGTGTATCCTACTGTGCAGGTACATTCATGACTACCAATTGTATTCCCACAATCAGCATGAGAGTCGCACAAATCTATGTCCTCTAAACATTCATCAATATCTAATGAAGGGGGTAACTTTCAAGGCATTAAATGTTTGTAAAACTCTATACCTGAGCAGTTATATCCATCACCAGCATAGCCTACTTCACAGATGCATCGATAGGATCCGAGTGTATTGTTGCACTGCGCCTTTTCATGACAATCGTCAGTACCCAGTGTGCATTCATCGATATCTGATACAAATGTAAATGGTAATGAAAAGGGTGTAACATTTGAAATTTCTTCTTACCATTGCAAGACAGTCCATCTCCAGAGTACCCAGCCACACATGTGCATATGAAACTACCAATGGTGTTGCTGCAGTTAGCATTACTGTGACATGGAGTTGTGTTAGTGCACTCATTCACATCTGTGTATTGAGCATGTGTTTCAAGTAATAATCTTAGACACGTAGTTTTACATACCAATGCACAAAACGCCATCTCCTGTGTAGCCAGTTAGACAGGTACACTCGTAGCTTCCAATGGTATCAGTGCAGTTTGCGTCGAGACTGCAGTTGTTCTGGCTTGAATTGGCACACTCATCTACATCTACACAACAAGATTTTGTGCCGTAAGTTTCACTTTCTTTGATCAGTCATTATTGTTTTCTAGTATGATTCCCAACTTACTTGTACAAGTGTATCCATCGCCATAAAACCCTGCATGACATTCACATGTGTAGCTCCCTACAGTGTTTCTGCAGTTGCCATCAGTGTGACATGAATTATTCCCCGATTTACACTCGTCAATATCTGTTGTGAGAGGAGTCACAAACTAATATTGAACATGACAAACTAACCTTCACAGTATGTTCCATTGCCAGTGTAGCCATCATCACATTCACAGTCATAGCCTCCATCTCTGTCCAGACATGTAGCATCACTGTCACAGTCAGTGGGTCCTTCTTCACACAGATTTATCCCTATAAAGAATTGAAATTGCCTTTTAAAGTGTTTCCCTATACATAAGTTCTTGCTTGTACATAGATGTTAAACCTAAAGACTTCTTACTCGTGCAATTCTTTCCATCACCAACATATCCATTGACACATGTACAGTTGTATGATCCAACTGTGTTAGAGCAAGTAGCATTGCTGTGGCATTCTGCTGTCCCGGCCCCACATTCATTTACATCTAGAGTAAGGAGAATTAAAGCAGGCTAAATGGCTAAAGCTAAATTTATGCTAACCATTGCAAGTGTGTTGGTCAGAGTCCAGAGTGTATCCATCATAGCAGACGCACTGGTAGCTACCAAGAGTGTCAGAGCAATTCTGAAAGCAGTTGTCAGTGTTTTCGGCACACTCATCAATATCTGTAGAAAAAACAGTTAGACAAATCAGGATTTTCTCAGGGTATGGTATAATTATTTTGACTGACCAAAGCATTTCACAACTGCTAAGTCATGATCACATGTTGCCAGACCAAGTTGATCATGTTCGCAGTCATGGAGCAGTGACTTGTCTGTCTCAATGCACTCTAGGGAACTGAGGAATACAGGATCTGACCTGGAACTGTAACTTGTTGCTTGGAGTTTAGATGCCCCTAAAGGAAGTGGAGGATAAAATTAATGTTCTGAACTGAAGCATACCAACTACATACCATTGGCACTAAAACCAGGCAGTTGATCACAAAATATTTCAGCATCAATATCATCAAATATGTTATCACTGCACACAGAGCCCCAGGCATTATTGACACAGATCTGGATTGTTCCCTGTCGAGAATCCTCTTCTGCGTTGTTGGAAAGGTCTACAAATCTTACTTCCCCCGTTAAACAGTCGGCAAAAGTAGTAGAAGGATCTATCAAAACACAAGCAGTTTTCGATGCAAAAGTTTCAGTAATGACCGACATACCATTACAGGTGACTGCTGCAACTTCAATAGGGTCGCAGTGTGTTACTTCCTCATGAGCCTCTGTTACATGAGAACAGTCTAGCAGGCCGGTCTCATTACCAATGCACTCTACTCTGCCAATCACAACTGAGACTGAGGCATTACTGAATTGACCCCCAGTGATGGCAATTGCTCCTGTTCAAATACAGACTATCAAACACTAGCAATTTGACAACAAACATTACCATTGGATGAAAATCCAAGCTGTGAACAGACAACAGATGCATCCTCAAAGTCCCAGGATTTATCACAGACTGTGCCATATCTTCCCCCGATGCAAACTTCAACTCTGCCCCTCGCCAATTCGTCCTTGATGAAATAACTGTTTTCTACATCTTCCAAGCTTTGGTAAAGTTGGTTCACATCTCCAATAGCCAGTCTAACAGTTCCACGGCGACAGACTGCACCACAGATGACTCCAGCGTCCTCTGAGTGGTCACAGTTACTGACAGAGTCATAGGAACAGTCCAGTACGTTGCCTTCAACACCAATGCACGTGACATCATCAATGAGGATGGGACGAGAGAATCCACTTCCAAACCCAGCATTCTTGACTGGAAACACATCTGCAAATCAAGAAAGCAGTAGAAATACCTAGCACAGAGCACAAATGTGATATACCATTGGTGTCATATCCCAGTTGTCTGCAGATGACTCTGGCATCAAGTTCATCCCATGAGTCATCACAGACTGTGCCATATGTGTTGTTGGAGCACACCTCCACTCGACCCTCATAGGCAGTGGAGCCATTCACCAGTCGAACATCACCATCAGTTGAACAACTGTCCAGGTCTATTTTCAGAAATGAAACATACCACAAAAGATAAAACTTCTAGATTGATAATGGTTATGCATAGTGTAGTAAAAAATTTTTGCTTACCAACACACGTGTGCCCGTCAAGATCTAAAGTATACCCAACATAGCATGAGCATGTGTAGCTTTCTATTGTCTCAGTACAGTAGTGATCACAGCCAGCATTGTTAATTTCACACTCGCTTGCAGCTGCAAAATGGAAAGGGGTAACAGAACCTTCTGTATTGGTTAGTATGGACTTACGATGGCAGATGACACCAACATCATGTGTGTGACTGCACATCTGTAGTAGTGTGAACCCACAGTCTAACAGTGTCTCCTCTTCACCATTACAACTAATATCATCCATGAATATCGGCCCAATTGGATCCCCAGGAAACTGAGTCACATCCACAACACCAACTTCGTCTGCAAAAACCGCATTCCTCATCTAATGCTATTGCATTGCTCATGAACAGGTACCTTCAATTTGTAACTTTCCGAGTTGTCTGCAGGCAACCTTAGCTTCAGTTGTGCTGAACACACCTTCGCTATCACAGACACTGCCCCATGCTCCATTCATACACACTTCCAGTCTGCCCTGGTTACTAGTGATAGCTCCAGACAATCTCAACGCTCCGTGAGTACAATTTGAGGATGAGGTAGATAAATCTGCAGGTATACTTCCAGTAGCACGAGTATCTGGTTCTTCGGTTCACATACCTTGACAAATAACAGTGGCACTGTGTTCAGGGCAGGTTCCAGAGTGAGAAAGGGGGCAATTCAGTACTCCAGTCTCATTGCCCAAACAATCAATGTCATAGAGGACGGCTGATTCAATATCATCACCAAATGCACCACTAGACACAGGTATCGCCCCTGAAGAGGTTGTTAGAACGCATGGAAGGATCGAAACAATAATATTATTATGTTTACCAAAATATGAGAACCCAAGCTGAGAGCAGATAACAGCAGGGGTAAGCTTGTCATCCCATTGGCTGTCACAAATAGTCCCATACTTCCCTCCAATACAAACTTCAACTCTGCCCTCTTGCTAATTCATCTTTAATGAAATAATAGTCTTCATACTCAGTGACTGAAGTGTAAAACTCAGTTAGGTTCTCAATTGCAAGTCTAACATCGCCTTCCACACAAGTGCCTACACAAAGAGCTCAGGAATTAGCCATACGTTCTATGTACAAACATTTCCATACTTTCACATCTGACTCCAGCTTCCTCAGATCTGTCACAGTTAGTGATGGTGGTGTAGCCACACTCTGTGAGGTTGCCCTCTCCTCCAGTACACACCACATTGTCCAGGAAGATAGACCTGTTAGGAGGACTGCCCAGACCAGAGCGGACCACTGGCAGAGAGCCTGTGTGAGAGGGAAAGATGTGGAATTGATGGAGAGATCCACAAATGATAGACAGAAGAGAACAAACCAGTAGCTGAGAATCCCAGCTGAGTACACACAACAGTGGCATCCAGAGGGTCCCACCAGTCATCACACACAGTACCATACTCATTGTCCAGACAAACCAGTACAGTTCCATTGGAGTGGTTGGTGGAGAGTGTACTACCATCATACAGAAGAATCTCCCCATCTCTGCAGTCTGTTCCAAAAGTAACCTTGACTTAAAGCTTTAAAGCAGTCGCTGAGTTCTGTAACTGACCACATGTGATTCCATTTCCAGTGTAGCCAATAGCGCAAGTACACTCATAGTTTCCAATGGTATTAGTGCAGTCCGCATGAGAGTCCACACTCATCTGATCCTTCAAAACATTCATCAATGTCTGCATGCAATATAAAGTAACACTGCTCGAATTGCTGCTTTAGTAGTAAAATGTAAATATTCTCCTACAAAAACATACCACTGCAGTTGATTCCATCACCGAGAGAGAAGCCCAGTTCACAGCTACATGTGTATGATCCATCAGTGTTATTGCATATTCCTCTCTCTCATCACAATTAATCCATACCCACGTCACACTCATTGATATCTAAGCATTGAAATTTCCTTTCACATAGAGTAACATTACTGTTTTCATTCACCTTTGCATGTCATGCCATCACCAGAATACCCAGCTAGACATTTCACACGAGAAGCTGCCAAATGTATTGCTGCAGTTTGCATTAGAATGGCATGGAATATCCTCTGTTTCTGAGCATTCATCAAAATCTGTGTTGTAGACAGCAAGTACAGCATTTATTACACAGTGCACAAAAATGGTAGGTATATTGACATACCATCACATAAATACCCATCTCCAGTGTAACCAGCTGAGCATGTGCAGTCATAACTCCCAATAGTGTCAGTGCAGTTTGCATATACACTGCAGTTATTCTCATTCATATCGGCACATTCATTAATGTCTAAAAGGGGAAAGGTCCCTAATGTATGAAGTTGAACTGTTGAAGAATACTTACTGGAGCAACCGAAACCATCTCCAGTAAACCCAGGAAAACAGTCACAGTTATAGCTTCCAATGACGTTAGAACAGTTGGCGTTGCTATGACATGAGTCATTTCCATCAGCACATTCATCAACATCTGAAAAAAAAACGCCTTAGTCAATATCTTCGTACAACCATTATAAAGCTGAATTGTGACTTAGAATACTTACCACTACAAAGAACGCCATCACCAAGATATATCCGGTAACACAGGCACAGACATAGCATTCCAAAGGTATCAGTCCAGTTGCAATTCGTACTTACAATATATGCTGGCTGCATCTAGACATTCATCATCATCTTAAAGAGAAGAGAAAGTGAATGTTTCAAATCAACAACATTATATCTGACAATAGACATACATACAGATCCAGATAAACACTACTAAAGCGCTAGTATATCAGCTCTGTCTAGACTTAGGCTCGGCATCACAATAAGTCGCAAAGTGTCCGTCGTTTCAAACAGCGCATTGCGAGGATTAGAACATCCATTATTTATCTGCCGGCAGCAATGCTACGCGGCACAGCACGATGGGGCCATGCTGCGACATATGTGACCTATCAGTCTACTTGAACAGTCTGCCATCTCCTGCGAAACCCTGAAGACATTGACACGCTGTAGCATTCCATTCAGTACATTAGTACAACTTGTGACTTTGGTGTGGACACACAAAATTTCACCCGTAGGCACTCGTTCACATCTGCATGTTGTGATATCAGAGGATGAGAAAACTAGAGATAATAGTGTGTACCTTCACAGTATGTTCCTATTGCCAGTTGTCGCCATCATTACAATTCACAGTCATAGCCTCCATCCTGTCACAGACAGTAGCATGATGTCACAGTCAGTGGGTCTACTTCACAACAAATCAATTCCTGGGGCGACGTGAAATAATTAGTAGATGCATGCGATATGGTGCCATATAGTTCTCTACTTGTGCAATTGATCCCGTCTCCATGTAGCCATAACATGCAGGTGCAGTTATAAAATCCCTCAGTGTTAGCAAACATGAGGCGATTGTTGTCGACATACACATCAGTTCCTTCTTCACATTCATTGATATCTGTTTTTAAAATATACTGGGTCATACTATAATATTGATCTACCTTAATAGGCTACCATTTGCAAGTTGTTGGTCAGAGTCCAGAGTGATCATCATAGCAAGACACACTGGTACTACAAGAGTTGTCAGAGCATTCTGAGAGCAGTTGTCCGTGTTCTCGGCACATATCATAATATCTGAGAATGTACTTATCACTTGCTTGTCTACGAAAGATTGAAATATAAATATGCCTACCAAGGCATTTCACCACAGCCAATCGAGGTTCATCATCACATGTTGCTAGGCCAAGTTGATCTGATGACAGTCTCACATTGATTGTATTGTCTCCATGCAGTCCATAGCGGTAGGAAATATCTACCAGGGCTCTCTGACACTGTGTGGCTTAATATTAGTTGCCCTCAGATCATTATACATTTTAAAACATACGATCAAACAGTAATTTACCAGTTCGCCCGTCAGACGAGTGTAGTCACGTTAGTTTTTTGTTTCCATTTTTAGCCACTCTCCTTTCCTTCTCCCTCTTTTCCCCCCTTGTAGTTTTTACACACTTGTGCTCTGCACACTTCCCTCCCCTTCTCTTCCCTTCCCCCCCCCTTTTGACAACTCTGAGCTTGGTACCAACACAATTAACCCTTAACTTGTCGCCCCATTCGTAGTATCATCATAAGCTAATCATGCACACTCATATCGACAGCTCCTTTTCAGC